CCCAGTTTTGTCACTAGCCCCCAGATGTTGGTAAGGAGGACTTTGCGGGATCATCAGGGCTGCTTCTGCCGTTGGCTTTATAGGTGTCTAGATCGATGCCAGATGATCTGTCCAGTTTCATTTCTTTGAGACTTTGTAGCTTGCTAGGCCATTTCAGAGGGCAATTGAGAGCCAACTACATTGTTATGGGTCTGGAGTAATGTGTAAGTCAGATGAGGTGAGGGTGGCAGATTTCCTTCCCTGAAGAACATTAGTGAACTAGATGGGTTTTTCCGAGAATTGACAATGATTTCACAGTCATCAGTAGATTCTTAATTCCAGAGTTGTTTTAATTCAAATTCCAGTATCTGCTTTCCGCCATGTCCCCAGAATATTTTCTGAGTTTTGGATTAATAGTCTAGTGATAATACCACTGGGCCATCGCCTCTCCAAATCGCATTACATCTGGAATGCAGCACCTTACACTTGCCTTTAAATCAGATAAAACTTAGGGTCTAGGCTATCTCCTTGATATACTTGAAGGGGTTTGGTCTGGTCCATAGGACCTCTCTCAATCTATTGCCATTATGATAATTATCAGACTTTTTGTTTTTGTTCCCAACGTGGATAACCTCACATTTATCCACATTAGACTGCATTTGCCCTGCATTTGTCCACTCACTCAACTTGTCCACATCACACTGAGTGAGGTAGGAACTCCAGAAAAACTCTGAAACCAGTCGAGGTTACGAAAAGAGTTGAACCATGGAATTGCTCCATTTGAGAATATTCTTGACCCATATTGACTTCGTGCATCAAATAATTTCTTCAACTGATTGAAACAAAGAATCCAAATGGTGCCCATGAATTGAGATATCCGGTTAATCTTTTAGGGCCCAAAACAAATAGAAGTTACGTATGATCTGATAGCAATCCCCAGACACAGCTGCAGGGTGCCATAGATTGGGAACTGAATATTGAAGGCTACAGGACAATTAGGAAGGGCAGAAAGCCAGGAAAATGTGGAGGAGGGCTTAGTTAATTAGCCCTCGTATTAGCATAGAGGTGGATCCTGTAAGTTCAAACCAGAAGATAAGAAATAGTTTTGGCAGAGATAAGAAAAGATAAAAGGCAAGTAGTCACTTTTCGGAGTGGTGTATAGTCTCCCAAGTTATCACACTGTAGAATGAAGTATAAAGAAATAAATAATGAGCTCGTCAGGAAGGCATGGCGATAGTTATGGGGGATTTAATCTATATATAGATTGGAAAAGTTGGATGGGCAAAGATAGACCAGGAATTTCCAGAATATTTTTGGGATAGTTTCTTAGAATGGCACCTTCTGTCACTGGTCAGACAGACTATACTCACTTCGATGTTGACACTTCATAGACTTGATGAGCTAAGATTCATTAGTAACCTGATAGTGAAGGTGCTCCTCCATAGCAACAGTCAGAACATGATTAAATTTTGCATTCAGTTTGAAGGAGAGGGCAGTGGGGCATCAACTATTTTAAACTTAAATAGAAGCAATTATGAGGGCATCAAAGCAGAGTTGGGGGAAAGTGAGCTGACAAGGTACGTTCAGAGACAAGTCAAAGAGACATGGTGGGAAACATTAAAGGGGAAATTTCTGAATACACAATTGATATATTACAACCAGAGAGAAAATTCTAAATTGTAGACCACCATCTAAAGGTTATTATTAAATACTTTTCTTAAAAAAAAACAAAGCATGTAATTGTGAAAAGGTGAATGGGGGGCAGGTCAGAAGATTAGACAGGATATAAAAATAAAAGCTTCAAACATTGACTAAAAGATTAATGAGGAGGAAGCAATTACTGTTTTTCACACCAAAGTGCACAACTTCACATTTTTGTGTGTTGTACTGCATCTGCCATGTGTTTGCCCACTCACCCAACTTGTCCAAGTCACTTCGGAACCTCCTCTGAACTCTCAATCCCACCCAGTTTTTTGTTGTTAGCAATCTTGGAAGGTTCAAGGTCAAATTTCATTTTTGAAAATGGAGCTAATGCTGCAGGGATTAACATGGTAGCCCAGGTGGAGGATTGTCTCCTGTTAGCCAGACAGAGTGTGGGCCTCAACAGGTCGTTTACTCATTGACAAGATGCAATGACTGGTCTGCCGCGGAAGATCAATGCTGAGACTCAACTTCTTCTATTAGTAACTTGCATGAAGGGACCGAAAGCATGCTTGCTAAATTTACTAATGATTCAAAGGTAAGAAAGTAAGTTTGAAGAAAGCCTAAGGAAGCTGAAACAGATATAGACGTTGAATGAGTGGGTAAAATTCTGGCAAATGTGAAATTGCAAAAAATACAAGGAATGTTATCTAAATGGAGGGAGATTACAGAGCTGTTGAGATGCAGAGAGTTCTGGATGTTCTCTTGCATTAATTGCGAAAGGTTAGTACGCAGTTACAGCAAGTAATTTGGAAAGTTAATAGACTGTTGTTTATTGCACGGAGGATTGGGTACAAAAGTAGGAAGGTTAGGCTTCAGCTGTACAGGGCACTGGTGTGGTCACATCCTGAGTACTTTCTACTGTATTGATGCCCTTATTTAAAGGGGAATGTAAATGCATACAAGGAATTTTAATAGATGAGCACCTGGAATGGGTGGCACGTCCTATAAGGAACAGTTGGACAAGGCTATCTTTGTTTTTAATAGTTCATGGAATATGGCTTTTGCTGGCTAGGTCAGCATTTATTGCCCATCCCTACTAGCCAAGGATGAGATGGTGGTGATCTGCTTTCTTGAACCACTGCGATGTCGGGACACCCAGAGTGCTATTAGGAAGGGAGTTCTGGGATTTTGACGCAGTGACAGTGAAGGAACAATGATGTACTTCCAGGTCAGGATGTGTGTGGCTTGGAGAGGTGGTAGTGTTCCTATGTATCTGTCACCTTTATCCTTCCAGGTGGTAGAGGTCACAGTTTTGGAAGGTGCTTTGAGAAGCTTTGGTGCCTTCCTGTAATGTGTCTTGTAGGTGGTACACACTGCTACCGCTGTACATTGGCAGTGAATTGAGTAAATGTTGAAATTAGTAGTACCAACCGGGGGCTGTTTTATTCCTGATGGTATTGAACATCTCAAGTGTTGTTGGGGCTGCAGCACATCCAGGCAAGTGGGGAGTATTCCATTACACTCCTGACTTGTGCCTTAGAGATGATTGACAGGATTTGGGGAATCGGGAGGTGAGTTACTCGCCACGGTATTCCTAGCCTCTAATTTGTTCTTGTAGCCACTAGTTTCTGGTCAATGGTAACCCTCAGGATGTTGGTGGTTGGGGATTCTGTGATGGAAACACCATTGAATGTCAAAGGGTGGTGGTTAAATTCTCTCTCGTTGGAGACAGTCATTACCTGACATTTGTGTGGCATGAATGTTACTCACCCAGAGTTACAAGAGCAAGATTTTACTGGATTTAAACATAAGAGATCCTGAGGAATACTGGTAAGGTGGCTTCCTCTTGGGAGAGAGTCTAGAATTAGGGATCAATTTTTGAAATAAATTATTGCCCGATTAAACTAAAGATGAGAACTTTGTTTCCTCACAGAGTCATGAGTCTTTGGAGCTCGTTCCTTAAAGTGCGGGAATTAGAATCTTTGAATATTTTTACTGCAGAGGTAAAGACTGTTGGGACCATGTGGAGTAATCCGATCAGTCATGATCTTTTACACTGGCAGTGCAGACTCCAGCAGCTGAATAGCCTGCTCATTCCTGTTTCTATTTGCACTGTTCACCGCCGCCACCAACACCCCCACCCCCCACCAGTTCCTTGGGGGTTGCAATATGAGGAAAGGTTGAGCACCTTGGGTCTTTATTCATTGAAGCTTAGAAGATTGAAAGGTTATCCTATTTAAAGATAAAGGATTTTGAGGCGTCTTGACCAGGTGCATGCTGAGAGGATGTTCAAAAATAAGGGCTCTCCCATTTAAGATGGAAATGAAGAGGCTTAGAGACTCATTCATCTCTAGAGTTCTCTACCCCAGATACTGGATCATAAATTCGAGGTTGAGATAAACAGTTTGTAATCTGCAGGAGAGTCCAGACTTATGGGAATAGCAGACATGTATTGTTAAAGCCTCAGACTGATCAGCCATGATTGTACTGACTGGCAGAGCAGGCTAGATGGGCTGAATGGCCTTCCCTGATTTCTTATCATGTTAATGTGAATGTTCTGCATCTTCTCTGAGAGCTGCCCCTTGGCCTGGTAGAACGCTGTTCACGTGCCCAGCAAACAGCTGATGTTTGTATGGGGCTGCATTGTGAATAGGAGTAGGCAGTCAGATCAGTCTGTTCTGCCTGCCCTGACCTGTGGCATGTTCAAATTAATGACCATGGTGCGGACTGTTCCTTGTGCTATTGATTCATCTTGTGGACTAGATCAAAGGTGAAGCCGAAGAGCAGTATTAATAATTCATTTACTTAGCTGCTCCATTTAAAGGGACTGACTTCACTCAGAGTCTCTTTCTCTCTCTCTCTCTCAGCTGTTCAACAGCATGACCCTGGTGGGTGTGGCCATTCTGTTGATTATAGCATTTCTGTCACAGGGCCAAGGCCCCCCTCCTTTGACACTGACCCTTGTATCTAATCCCTGAATTCTCTTACACACACACACACACACACGAACAATATTACAGGTCATTAGATCTGAGTAACCAGGTCATGTGGTGAATACCAAAGTGGCCCCTGTAGTTGCACCAGGAGAGGAGCACACTGTAATTATAAACCTGAGCAGGGTAGGGGTGTGGGTGGGTGGGTGTGTGTTTGTGCAGCATTGTGTGTGTGTGTGGGGGGGGAGCGGGGTATGGGTGTGTTTGTGCGGTGGAGTGTGTGTGTGTGGCGGCGGGAGGGCGGGTATGGGTGTGTTTGTGCGGGGGGGTGCGTGTGTGTGTATATGTGTATGGGGTTGTGTGGGGAGGGTTGCGTTTGTGTGTGTGTGGGATGCTCTGAGGGCCGGTATGGACTTGTTGGGCCGGTATGGACTTGTTGGGCCGAAGGGCCTGTTTCCACACTGTAGGGATTCTGTGATCATTCTCCCACTTATTAACGGTATACTTTGTGTTTCTCCTTTCCCAGATTATTTATGTGCTCCTGAAGACAATGTTTACAATATCGATTTCACAAGGTTCAAGATTCGTGACATGGAATCAGGAGCTATCTTATTCGAAATCACCAAACCACCTTCCTCTGGTGGGTCAAAGGGGTATCCCCCTGGTCATTACACAGACCAATCCCACATGAGGCCTCACTGAGACAAGGGGATCGTTTTATGTATCTGATGTGGGGCTGTGAGGCGGGAGACGGGGCCCGGTGTGCGGAGAGACGGGAGTGGGGAGACGGGTCGCAGTGTGCAGGGAGGCAGGGGGGAGATGGGGCCCAGTGTGCGGGGAAAATCTCTGTTGATATCTACATCTCAGCTGCATGGACCCAAGCTGGTTCCAAGCACACACTGATCGTTAAAACGATTTGAAACCCATCAACGGGACCCAGTTATTGTCTCCACCTGCCCCTTCTCTCCTCTTTACCTCTTCCTCCCCGCCTGCCCTTCCTTTCCTCCCCCAATCCTGTGCCCTGTCATCCTGTGTTTCACCTCCCTCCCAACCCCAATCCCCTCCACCCTCCCACCCGTTTCCCAGGACGTTTTGATTTGAGATTTAAATCTGCTTCCAGAGACCCTGATCTGTTTTTCTCTTCCCCCGCCCCCTAACTTTCCTCATGCGCATCTCCCCCCACCCTCCTCCCTCTCCCCCCACCCTCTCTCGCGCCCCCCC